CCTTGGGCAGTATAAAGCTCTAAATGATGGTTTTAACTAATTGTAATTACCCCCAGGGGGAAGATATCCTTGAACGGACACCCTGCACTTCCTCACGGTACTCCCTAGTGGCATCTACTGTCATCCCATCTACTCTATGGTGGTCGTTGCCGGCATCCCCGCCTCTGATGGCCTCAATACCCATCATTATCTCACTTTCACCCCATAATTACTGAGTACATTTGATGGGTGCTACAACCACCAAAACCCCTACTGATGACGTCTGAACACTTCCGGAACAAGTTATTTGCTCATGTACTCTGTTCAAACCACAATTCTATAAATGGTTCACACATGTAATTTACATTATCTAACACAGTGCACAGTTACAAACCCATTAAGATTTCAACTTAGATTCAACAGAGCAGAAGAAGTTGTTAAACACATGGGGCAAAATCTTACTGAAGCGACCATACGAGTCATACATACTCATACTCCGCCCAAGTAAACAAAAACAAGCAACACTTAGTGGGCCAGCCAGAGGCTTAGGGCCCGCCCAGTGGGCCAGCCAGAGGCTTAGGGCCCGCCCAGTGGGCCAGCCAGAGGCTTAGGGCCCGCCCAGTGGGCCAGCCAGAGACTTAGGGCCCGCCCAGTGGGCCAGCCAGAGACTTAGGGCCCGCCCAGTGGGCCCAGCCAGAGAGCTTAGGGCCCGCCCAGTGGGCCAGCCAGAGGCTTAGGGCCCGCCCAGTGGGCCAGCCAGAGACTTAGGGCCCGCCCAGTGGGCCAGCCAGAGACTTAGGGCCCGCCCAGTGGGCCAGCCAGAGACTTAGGGCCCGCCCAGTGGGCCAGCCAGAGACTTAGGGCCCGCGCAGTGGGCCAGCCAGAGACTTAGGGCCCGCCCAGTGGGCCTGCCAGAGGCTTAGGGCCCGCCCAGTGGGCCAGCCAGAGACTTAGGGCCCGCCCAGTGGGCCAGCCAGAGGCTTAGGGCCCGCCCAGTGGGCCAGCCAGAGGCTTAGGGCCCGCCCAGTGGGCCAGCCAGAGACTTAGGGCCCGCCCAGTGGGCCAGCCAGAGACTTAGGGCCCGCCCAGTGGGCCAGCCAGAGGCTTAGGGCCCGCCCAGTGGGCCAGCCAGAGGCTTAGGGCCCGCCCAGTGGGCCAGCCAGAGGCTTAGGGCCCGCCCAGTGGGCCAGCCAGAGGCTTAGGGCCCGCCCAGTGGGCCAGCCAGAGGCTTAGGGCCCGCCCAGTGGGCCAGCCAGAGACTTAGGGCCCGCCCAGTGGGCCAGCCAGAGGCTTAGGGCCCGCCCAGTGGGCCAGCCAGAGGCTTAGGGCCCGCCCAGTGGGCCAGCCAGAGGCTTAGGGCCCGCCCAGTGGGCCAGCCAGAGGCTTAGGGCCCGCCCAGTGGGCCAGCCAGAGGCTTAGAGCCCGCCCAGTGGGCCAGCCAGAGACTTAGGGCCCGCCCAGTGGGCCAGCCAGAGGCTTAGGGCCCGCCCAGTGGGCCAGCCAGAGGCTTAGGGCCCGCCCAGTGGGCCAGCCAGAGGCTTAGGGCCCGCCCAGTGGGCCAGCCAGAGGCTTAGGGCCCGCCCAGTGGGCCAGCCAGAGGCTTAGGGCCCGCCCAGTGGGCCAGCCAGAGGCTTAGGGCCCGCCCAGTGGGCCAGCCAGAGGCTTAGGGCCCGCCCAGTGGGCCAGCCAGAGGCTTAGGGCCCGCCCAGTGGGCCAGCCAGAGACTTAAAGCCCGCCCAGTGGGCCAGCCAGAGGCTTAGGGCCCGCCCAGTGGGCCAGCCAGAGACTTAGGGCCCGCCCAGTGGGCCAGCCAGAGACTTAGGGCCCGCCCAGTGGGCCAGCCAGAGACTTAGGGCCCGCCCAGTGGGCCAGCCAGAGACTTAGGGCCCGCCCAGTGGGCCAGCCAGAGCCTTAGGGCCCGCCCAGTGGGCCAGCCAGAGACTTAGGGCCCGCCCAGTGGGCCAGCCAGAGACTTAGGGCCCGCCCAGTGGGCCAGCCAGAGACTTAGGGCCCGCCCAGTGGGCCAGCCAGAGGCTTAGGGCCCGCCCAGTGGGCCAGCCAGAGACTTAGGGCCCGCCCAGTGGGCCAGCCAGAGACTTAGGGCCCGCCCAGTGGGCCAGCCAGAGACTTAGGGCCCGCCCAGTGGGCCAGCCAGAGACTTAGGGCCCGCCCAGTGGGCCAGCCAGAGACTTAGGGCCCGACCAGTGGGCCAGCCAGAGACTTAGGGCCCGCCCAGTGGGCCAGCCAGAGACTTAGGGCCCGCCCAGTGGGCCAGCCAGAGACTTAGGGCCCGCCCAGTGGGCCAGCCAGAGACTTAGGGCCCGCCCAGTGGGCCAGCCAGAGGCTTAGGGCCCGCCCAGTGGGCCAGCCAGAGACTTAGGGCCCGCCCAGTGGGCCAGCCAGAGACTTAGGGCCCGCCCAGTGGGCCAGCCAGAGGTTTAGGGCCCGCCCAGTGGGCCAGCCAGAGGTTTAGGGCCCGCCCAGTGGGCCAGCCAGAGGTTTAGGGCCCGCGCAGTGGGCCAGCCAGAGGTTTAGGGCCCGCCCAGTGGGCCAGCCAGAGACTTAGGGCCCGCCCAGTGGGCCAGCCAGAGACTTAGGGCCCGCCCAGTGGGCCAGCCAGAGGTTTAGGGCCCGCCCAGTGGGCCAGCCAGAGGTTTAGGGCCCGCCCAGTGGGCCAGCCAGAGGTTTAGGGCCCGCGCAGTGGGCCAGCCAGAGGTTTAGGGCCCGCCCAGTGGGCCAGCCAGAGACTTAGGGCCCGCCCAGTGGGCCAGCCAGAGACTTAGGGCCCGCCCAGTGGGCCAGCCAGAGACTTAGGGCCCGCCCAGTGGGCCAGCCAGAGACTTAGGGCCCGCCCAGTGGGCCAGCCAGAGACTTAGGGCCCGCCCAGTGGGCCAGCCAGAGACTTAGGGCCCGCCCAGTGGGCCAGCCAGAGACTTAGGGCCCGCCCAGTGGGCCAGCCAGAGACTTAGGGCCCGCACAGTGGGCCAGCCAGAGACTTAGGGCCCGCCCAGTGGGCCAGCCAGAGACTTAGGGCCCGCCCAGTGGGCCAGCCAGAGACTTAGGGCCCGCCCAGTGGGCCAGCCAGAGACTTAGGGCCCGCCCAGTGGGCCAGCCAGAGACTTAGGGCCCGCCCAGTGGGCCAGCCAGAGACTTAGGGCCCGCCCAGTGGGCCAGCCAGAGACTTAGGGCCCGCCCAGTGGGCCAGCCAGAGACTTAGGGCCCGCCCAGTGGGCCAGCCAGAGGTTTAGGGCCCGCCCAGTGGGCCAGCCAGAGACTTAGGGCCCGCCCAGTGGGCCAGCCAGAGGCTTAGGGCCCGCCCAGTGGGCCAGCCAGAGGCTTAGGGCCCGCCCAGTGGGCCAGCCAGAGACTTAGGGCCCGCACAGTGGGCCGGTGTAATTTTAATACAAATAATCGCCAACAGAACCTAAACATCTATCCTGACCTACGCCTAATTTACATAGAATTTTTATGTATACTAATAATAATTTATATATGAGAACAAACAAATATTTAATACACAGTATATTAAAATTGATGAATGCGTCTGGGGAGGATGGCCGCTGCTTTAACCAGCCTAGTGTGAGGACGGGTTGGAGGATCACGGCTGTTTCTATGGTATAAAGTCAGGTGTCCTGGGGTGAGGTGTAAGCAGTAGGTTAACCTCCCAACCTGAGCAATAGATTATGTAACTTCCTTGTACATAATCGCTCGCTAAATCTGGTAATCGCACCCTGGTTCGCCCCCTAATATCCCTCAGGAGATATTAACATTTGAATTATTGTTCATAAAAATAGATTTAAATATTATTCTTTTGAACCGACAGAGTTGTGGATAAATTATGCATGAGTTACCCCATACAATTGTGTGATCGGTCTTACATAATTATAGTGTTGTGTTATATATGTTTATGTGTTCCCAAGTTATAGGAAACACGTGTATGTCCTGCTATAATACACTTTAACATCATGAGAACACTTGTATGTCCTGCTATAATACACTTTAACATCATGAGAACACTTGTATGTCCTGCTATAATACACTTTAACATCATGAGAACACTTGTATGTCCTGCTATAATACACTTTAACATCATGAGAACACTTGTATGTCCTGCTATAATACACTTTAACATTATGGGCACAAGTGTATGTCCTGCTATAATACACTTTAACATTATGGGCACAAGTTTATGTCCTGCTATAATACACTTTAACATCATGGGCACAAGTGTATGTCCTGCTATAATACACTTTAACATTATGGGCACAAGTGTATGTCCTGCTATAATACACTTTAACATTATGGGCACAAGTGTATGTCCTGCTATAATACACTTTAACATCATGGGCACAAGTGTATGTCCTGCTATAATACACTTTAACATCATGGGCACAAGTGTATGTCCTGCTATAATACACTTTAACATCATGGGCACAAGTGTATGTCCTGCTATAATACACTTTAACATTATGGGCACAAGTGTATGTCCTGCTATAATACACTTTAACATCATGGGCACAAGTGTATGTCCTGCTATAATACACTTTAACATTATGGGCACAAGTGTATGTCCTGCTATAATACACTTTAACATCATGGGCACAAGTGTATGTCCTGCTATAATACACTTTAACATCATGGGCACAAGTGTATGTCCTGCTATAATACACTTTAACATCATGGGCACAAGTGTATGTCCTGCTATAATACACTTTAACATTATGGGCACAAGTGTATGTCCTGCTATAATACACTTTAACATCATGGGCACAAGTGTATGTCCTGCTATAATACACTTTAACATTATGGGCACAAGTGTATGTCCTGCTATAATACACTTTAACATCATGGGCACAAGTGTATGTCCTGCTATAATACACTTTAACATTATGGGCACAAGTGTATGTCCTGCTATAATACACTTTAACATCATGGGCACAAGTGTATGTCCTGCTATAATACACTTTAACATCATGGGCACAAGTGTATGTCCTGCTATAATACACTTTAACATTATGGGCACAAGTGTATGTCCTGCTGTAATACACTTTAACATTATGGGCACAAGTGTATGTCCTGCTATAATACACTTTAACATCATGGGCACAAGTGTATGTCCTGCTATAATACACTTTAACATCATGGGCACAAGTGTATGTCCTGCTATAATACACTTTAACATCATGGGCACAAGTGTATGTCCTGCTATAATACACTTTAACATCATGGGCACAAGTGTATGTCCTGCTATAATACACTTTAACATCATGGGCACAAGTGTATGTCCTGCTATAATACACTTTAACATCATGGGCACAAGTGTATGTCCTGCTATAATACACTTTAACATCATGGGCACAAGTGTATGTCCTGCTATAATACACTTTAACATCTATATATATTTCTGTAAATAGTTTTAGTTAAATTATAAGTTTGATCCACAAAATTTCCACCAGAAGACCACATCACCTGAACTACTTTCCCTAAATTAAATGATAAATGTGTGGTGCACAAGTATACTTGGTGCAGTGTAAACATCACACACAGGATGACCAGCTTCAACATTTACCAAAAAATTTCCCCGGTGAAAACAGTGTTCGCTGAGCATGTGTACAGCCTGGCCACTCTGCACATTGTTGTTCCTGGCCACTCTGCACATTGTTGTTCAACTCTCTCGCCCAGAGACATAGAATCATGTACCAATTTATTTATAGAATATAATTGAATGATGTGAGCTTGGCGCTTCCATCAGAACAGATATAACAGGTTCATGTCCCACACAGCATGATGTGGATTTTCTCTCCAGAGAAAGTCAATGTATCATATCACCGATGCATTGGCTGAAGCAGCTGATTTATAATGATATTGTTCGTGTCTTCAGTCGACTCATTCCTGTGAGGCTCACTCATACAGCCTATACACCTATTACATTATTGAGACTGGATTCAAACATTTAATATTCGGAAACCGTATATATTGATTTAAACATTGCCATCCTTCACCAACCTATCCTCACACTAGGCTGGTAAAAGCAGCGGCCGTCCTCCCTAGACGCATTCATCACTTTTAACATACAATACTGTGTATTAAACATCGGTTTGTTTTAATATTTAAATTAATATTATTATTAATACCAACTCTACGTATAGTTAGGCGTAGGTCAGGATAGGTGTTTAGGTTCTGTTGGCGATTATTTGTTTTTGAAATACTTTGGTGAAGCATTTATAGAATTGTTGTTCGAACAGAGGACGTGAGCGAAGCACTTGTTCCGGAAGTGTTCGGACATCATCAGTTGTAAGTCGTGAGTAAACCGCTTTACATTCATAAGCAGGTAGATTTAGCGGCTGGATTATCGACCTTGAATCTTTGAATGTGAGGTCGTAGAAAGTGCACTATTATCACTATTGAAGAACACACTTAATATTGATCCCCCAAGACTTTGTGAAGAATTTATGTGGAGGTGAAGCTATGAACGACACTTTCATCACGGTCAGTCTTCCTGAACGACACTTTCATCATGGTTAGTCTTCCTTCGCTTTGGTGACAATTGTAGTACACCATTACTCGTTCCCTCGGCTAATTGTGCCACTATTACTCACCTTATAATGGTTCTGCTTATATAGATATTATTAATTTTAACTTCAATAACAGATATAATTAATTTTAACTTCAATTAACAGATAATGTTTAATGCTTATTGACTGACTTTGATCTTTGAGTTTCTCTCTGTAAGGGTCAGTAGTTTTAACTGTTCTTCACTGATGAATAAAATTATACTCTTGAAAACGTTTGGCTAAGATTTTTCTTTCTTGATGTTTATGTTTGTATTTCACAGTTATGTTTTCCATTTAAAATATAATTTTTCACATTTACAGCTGTTAACAACCAACATTTCCTTGGCAGGACGCCGGTGTGTCCTCCCAGGGACTCTCCCGGCTTCTTCTGCAGGGAAAAATGTGTAGAGAACGCGGACTGTGGGCCCAACCTGTTCTGCTGTGAGGTGCGCTGTGGCAAGATGTGCATGACCAGATACCAGCACACTCAGTCGTGAGTCTATGTAACGTTTCTTGTAGCACAGTCGTGAGTCTATGTAACGTTTCTTGTAGCACAGTCGTGAGTCTATGTAACGTTTCTTGTAGCACAGTCGTGAGTCTACGTAATGTGTCTTGTAGCACAGTCGTGAGTCTATGTAACGTCTCTTATAGCACAGTCGTGAGTCTATGTAACGTCTCTTATAGCAGAGTCGAGAGTCTATGTAACGTCTCTTATAGCAGAGTCGAGAGTCAATGTAACGTCTCTTATAGCAAAGTCGAGAGTCTATGTAACGTCTCTTATAGCAGAGTCGAGAGTCAATGTAACGTCTCTTATAGCAGAGTCGAGAGTCTATGTAACGTCTCTTATAGCATAGTCGTGAGTCTATGTAACGTTTCTTGTAGCACAGTCGTGAGTCTATGTAACGTTTCTTGTAGCAGAGTCGAGAGTCTATGTAACGTCTCTTATAGCAGAGTCGAGAGTCTATGTAATGTGTGTCTAGTCAAGATGTGGCTCTTGTCTATGTTTGGTGTAGGTCAAGAATGGGTTACATTATAAGTTTAAAAATGTTTTCGATCTGAGAAAAAGATCGAATCGTTTTGCATATATCTGGAAATATTTAGAGAATTTTTCTTATATTAATTTTGAGTAAAATTTAACCTTGAGAAAATAAAGGCAATAAATGACAATGTTTATAATAATTTTATTTTCTGAGGCCTCAGTTTTATTTCTTACTTGCTGTTCCCAGCCACGCGTTGCTGAGGCTCCGCAACGCTTGTGCGTTGTTAAGCCACAGCAACCTTCCCTTGTCTCTCAGTCCTCCCCACCATTCTCCCCTTCCCTGTCCCTTCGTCCTCCCAACCATTCCTTACTCCCCCATCCCCTCATGTCCTCAAACATTTCCCCCCCCCTCCCCCGTCCTGTCCTCCTCCCCACCATAACCCCCTCCCCTGTCCCCCTCGTCCTCAACACCGTCTCCTACTCTCATCCCCCTCGTCCTCCCCACCATTCTCCACTCCCTCGTGTGATGCATTCCCAAATGATCTGATGTTCCCATTATTGAAATATAAGAAAATCAGTTAAAAAAACGAAATAAAAAATAACTGAAAAATAAAAAAATAACTATACTCACGAAATGAACGGTATGGTAAACAGCATAGCTCAGTTCGAAAGCAATATCATACTAAATATTTAAATCAAAATGAAAATAAATCAAAATCCATGAAAATTCAATTTATCAATGAAATCGGAAACATTGAAATGGAATCGTAACATATTTTGCACAGCGTGTGTTGCTCTTACATGCAACATGGTACTGTTTTTAAAATAAACATGTTTTTACCTGTCACAGGTGTGGCATCCATACTTATACTCACGAAATGAACGATATGGTAAACAACACAGCTCAGTTCCAACGCAATGTTACACAAAATAATTAAATCAAAATGAAAATAAATTGAAATCTATGAAAATTCAATTTGTCATTGCATTCGGAATTATTGAAATGGAATCGTAACATATTTAGAATAGTGTGTGTTGCTCGTATATGCAACAGATGGTGATGTTTCTAAAAACAGAATGTTTTACCTGTCACAGGTGTGTGTGGCATCAATACTTATACTTACAAAATGAACAGTATGATAAACAATACAGCTCTATTCAAACACCATGTTACACAAAATCATTAAATGAAAATGAAAATAAATTTAAATCTATGAAAACTCAATTTATCAATGCAATTGGAAACATTGAAATGGAATCGTAGCATATTTAGTATAGCAAGTGTTGCTATTACGTGCAAGAGATGGTGCAGTTTAAAAAAAAAAATTATGTTTTTACCTGTCACAGGTATGGGATCTATATAGTAGATATATAAAAACACGCGCCTATTCAAATGCAACGTTGTGTCAAAATTTCAAAGCAATTGGTAAAGAGGTTGCGTAGATTTTCCTCTCATGAAAAACACACGAAAAACACAGTTTTTCAGAAAAAAAACATTTTTTTTGCCGTCACAGACGTGACATCTATATAGTATGGATATAAAAATCTGCTCTGATGCGAATGGAACGTTGTGTGAAAATTTCAAAGCAATCGGTGAAGAACTTTCGGAGATTAGCGATTTTGAACAAACGAACATTTCCAATTTTATTTATATTGATTTATAGAACACATTTTGTGGGCCCAGTTCGCCCATTTTGAGTACTGGTGACACATATAAGTTTTGTTTTATAAATATTTGAATGGTAGTTGTCATCCACTGACCATCATCCAATATACTATTACAATCTAATCTAAAGAAACATACAAATGTTATCACTAGATTTTGTCAAATAAAATTTAATCAAAATTACATATTTATTTATAAACATAATTTTTAATATTATATATTAAATGTCTATATCTAAAATACGTCCAACAGTTTAGTGTAAATTTGACTTATTGTATGTAACATTAACAATTGTGTAATTAGCTTCAAGAGATTGTCCCTTGCTTAGGTGAACGAAGTAGGGTTCAGTTGCTGTAGCCATTATGTGCCTCTGTATCCCGTTCATCACTACCCACGGCATGGGGATGGGGTGCATAATAAAGAAAGAAATTGAAAATTGCCGGGTTTAATGATTACGATGAAGCTGTTGAGGAATATTAAGGGAACCACAAGTGCTTATTGACCAACCAGCAAGATTATTTTTTATATGAATATAGTATAGAGGAAAACTGCACTCTTAAGTATATGTGCTCCGAGAAGCACATATCTCCGAGAGATATGTATCTCTCGGAGATACATATCTCTCGGTGAGTATATCTCTTAAGTATATGTTGTTGTTGTTGTTTAAGATTCAGCTACTTGGAACAAAAGTACTAAGTAGCACGGACTATGGTGATCCCGTAGTGGACTTGTCAAAGGTGTAAATACTGCTTAATTTATAAAAAATTTGATTTGAATATTTGATTTGATTGCAGATTTGAATAATTAATTTGTCCTAATTACATAATACTAATTTTGATTTTGATATAATAACTTATATTTGTCGTTATTAAATTTGTAAAATCATTGTAATTGTTAAATTAATTGTTTAAATTGTTTCTTCTTCCTCAAGATAAGTTGTACATGGAAATGTTGAGTAAAAGTTGCATAACACCAGTTTGTGATTAGTAGTAGTAGGCATCCATCAGTCTCAGGAGACTATGGAGTGGCGCTCTGGTTGTCGGTCTGGAGTGGCCTCACCAGGGCACAAAGCCAGGGTAGGTTGATACGGGGGAGAAGCTGTTACCCAGGCAGCAGGTCCCCCCCTCCACGGCGCTGAAAGTCTCCAATAGAAAGGCACACGCCAATACGCTTGGTTCCAGCGCCGTCGCAGGAACTGTGAGTTACGGGGTTGACCTCGAATGTGGTGAAGAAGGGCACAGGGACCAATCACCAAGGGGAGTGCCCTTGGTGATTGGTGCATCAATAATGACCAAATTCTCTCACTGCAGGGCGAGTAAATATCATTTATTTGTGCAAATATCGCTGCCTTGGTAAATAATGGAGTTTATACACACACAGAAATCACAATAGCATGATATAACAGATGAATAAATCCACAAGGGACGTGATGAAGGTTCGAACTTACATCCAGGACGATCATCCTGGACTGGGATTTGGGTGCTGGATCATCCTGGACGTAAGTTCGAACCCCTCATCACGATCCTTGTGGGTTTATTCATTTAATAGAGTTTGTTCATATCATTACAGCAAGACGTTTCCCAGTAATGGGGTCTGACGTGATTCGAACATGACGAAGCAAAAATAAATAATAATTGTTTTGAAATCTGATTAAATTATTGTTTCATTAATACTATGGGAACCCAATGGTATTCAATATTTTGTATTCAGTATTCGTACTTCTTGCCAAACCGTCCTCCTAAGGGTTCCCAACGTCAAGAAAATATCGTACTAAAGTGCCCTTCTTCTCACCAACCAGAGGACCCAAAACAGAAAACGGGATATTATGTCAATTCCACGAGCCGGTACCATTGTCTAGTACGAATAAATTTTTGGCCTTCGGTAAAGTATACGTCAAAATGCGACATTCTATTGGGAGGACGGGTTGGTTCATTGATGTTATTGTTTACTTGTGGGGAAAAGTTGTGTATTGAGACTGAGAGGTGTTAGGAAGGTGGTGTTGTTTAGAGTTATGGCATCTGTGGCCCGTGAGGTGTGGCCACAACACTGCTGGTATACAGTTTAATGACATCTGTGCCCCGATGTCGACTCGCAATGTGGCACTTGTCTTGGTATTTAGAGTTAGTTATCGTATCCTAATACTTTGTAATGATAAATTATCGTACACCATAGCACATTCATTTGCGTTATTTTGATTTCCTTGACCATATACTGTTTTCTTTGTCAGTAAAACAAAAGTTAATGATGTGTGACGAACAAGGTCTTCCCCAGGCCCACCTGCCCGCCCCCTAACCCGTTGATCAGATGTTTCGCCTTCGTCCATAGCTGCAACAACGACCAGGAGTGCAAGAAGATTGGCCCTCATGGCCACTGCTGTTTGGAACCTGCGTGTGGCAGGCATTGTGATGACACTTCAACACAACACTAATTGCCTCAGTGTTCCACAACTTGCCACTATAACGCAAGAGTAAGTCCTACAATGTTCCCACAACTTGCCACTACCACACAACAGTAAGTCCTACAATGTTCCCACAACTTGCCACTACCACACAACAGCAAGTCCTACAATGTTCCACAACTTGCCACTACCACACAACAGCAAGTCCTACAGTGTTCCACAACTTGCCACTACCACACAACAACAAGTCCTACAATGTTCCCACAACTTGCCACTACCACACAACAGCAAGTCCTACAGTGTTCCACAACTTGACACTACCACACAACAGCAAGTCCTACAATGTTCCACAACTTGCCACTACCACACAACAACAAGTCCTACAATGTTCCCACAACTTGACACTACCACACAACAGCAAGTCCTACAATGTTCCACAACTTGCCACTACCACACAACAACAAGTCCTACAATGTTCCACAACTTGCCACTACCACACAACAACAAGTCCTACAATGTTCCCACAACTTGCCACTACCACACAACAACAAGTCCTACAATGTTCCACAACTTGCCACTACCACACAACAACAAGTCCTACAATGTTCCCACAACTTGCCACTACCACACAACAACAAGTCCTACAATGTTCCACAACTTGACACTACCACACAACAGCAAGTCCTACAATGTTCCACAACTTGCCACTACCACACAACAGCAAGTCCTACAATGTTCCCACAACTTGACACTACCACACAACAGTAAGTCCTACAATGTTCCACAACTTGCCACTACCACACAACAGTAAGTCCTACAATGTTCCACAACTTGCCACTACCACACAACAGCAAGTCCTACAATGTTCCACAACTTGCCACTACCACACAACAGTAAGTCCTACAATGTTCCACAACTTGCCACTACCACACAACAGCAAGTCCTACAATGTTCCCACAACTTGACACTACCACACAACAGTAAGTCCTACAATGTTCCCACAACTTGCCACTACCACACAACAGCAAGTCCTACAATGTTCCACAACTTGCCACTACCACACAACAGCAAGTCCTACAATGTTCCACAACTTGCCACTACCACACAACAGCAAGTCCTACAATGTTCCACAACTTGCCACTACCACACAACAGCAAGTCCTACAATGTTCCACAACTTGCCACTACCACACAACAGCAAGTCCTACAATGTTCCACAACTTGCCACTACCACACAACAACAAGTCCTACAATGTTCCACAACTTGCCACTACCACACAACAACAAGTCCTACAATGTTCCACAACTTGCCACTACCACACAACAGCAAGTCCTACAATGTTCCCACAACTTGCCACTACCACACAACAACAAGTCCTACAATGTTCCACAACTTGCCACTACCACACAACAACAAGTCCTACAGTGTTCCACAACTTGCCACTACCACACAACAGTAAGTCCTACAATGTTCCACAACTTGCCACTACCACACAACAGTAAGTCCTACAGTGTTCCACAACTTGACACTACCACACAACAGTAAGTCCTGCAGTGTTCCACAACTTGACACTACCACACAACAGTAAGTCCTACAGTGTTCCACAACTTGCCACTACCACACAACAGTAAGTCCTACAGTGTTCCACAACTTGCCACTACCACACAACAGTAAGTCCTACAGTGTTCCACAACTTGCCACTACCACACAACAGCAAGTCCTACAGTGTTCCACAACTTGCCACTACCACACAACAGTAAGTCCTACAGTGTTCCACAACTTGACACTACCACACAACAGTAAGTCCTGCAGTGTTCCACAACTTGACACTACCACACAACAGTAAGTCCTACAGTGTTCCACAACTTGCCACTACCACACAACAGTAAGTCCTACAGTGTTCCACAACTTGCCACTACCACACAACAGTAAGTCCTACAGTGTTCCACAACTTGCCACTACCACACAACAGTAAGTCCTACAATGTTCCACAACTTGCCACTACCACACAACAGTAAGTCTCTTATCTTTCATGTCTTTCAGTGTTCCACAAACCTTTATCTTTAAATTTCAACCTCTAATTAAACAGCTGTTATTGTTTAATATTACAGCTTTTGATGATTGAGAGCAAATTGGCTTGTAAGTATAGTTTGATCATAAATTAAGTTATTAACCTAATCATCAGTGTTATTTTTACTATTTGCTATAAAACATTCCACAGGAAAAACTGCCCGAACCCAAATTGGTTTGGAATAGTCTGCAAGCAGGTTATTAACCAGTGTAGATCATCTCTAGCCGCCAGTGGTGGTGGAGGGCAAGGGCCGCCGGTGTTGTTGTGTGGCAGGCTGAGGCAGGCTGCGGTCTGGAGTGTGTGAACTAGCCTGTAGCAGCAGGTGAAGAGCAGGCTGCAGGCTGGTCTGGATGAAAGCCAACTGATGCCCTTAAAAACAGCGCAACACTTCACACCTTCATTGTCGAACTCACAACACATGAATTCTCAATGAGCCGAATGTGATGTATTATATTAAATATTAGTGTTACTTTCAGCCAGGTCTCATAACTTTATTCACTATAATCTTTATATTTTATTTTATTTAACATAAAACATTATAAGTTATATATATAGCTAACCCTATATAGGTAAGTTATCTAAGTAAATTAGTTTCTTATATCTGAAAAGTATGCACATTTTTGACACTTCATTGTAATAAAGAAAAAAAATATAATACAAAACCTACTGAAGACGATGAATTATATTAAATTTATGTAGGTAAGTTTTTGGAGAAAAGATATTCTAGTGAAGAAATATACTTATTGGTACGAAACAAACCAAAACTCGACTTGACCATTAACGATCAAAATATACGAATGCCAATATCTACATATGGAAACTTACCCTCAATACTTGCTTGTACAATAATTTTCTTAAGTTATGAGTGCTGAATCTTGTGTTGACAAATGTTGTTGCACTGAACTTATGGCGCATAAGCAAGAGATTGGTGGTGGTTTAATAGTTGCCAAAAAGAAAAGTTATAGAATGAGATTTAGGCTCCACTTGTCAGCATAAGTGTGTCATGAAGGCTTGTGGAAATTTCATATCAAGTTAAGTGTCCCTCCTCTCGATCAATGCACCAACCACCAATCTCATGTTATTATTGTTGTGTGTGTAATTGCTGCTCTGGCCATAACCCACTGTTATTGTGTTGTATGGGTTTAACGCCAGAGAGGATTTCTCATGTACCGAGGGCTAAGGGATAATTCAAAGTGTTCACCTCCTTCTGAGGTGGTAGGCCTGCCTATAGTATTTTGTTTGAAAGTCATACTCCTTCCTATATGGAGTCTTGTCCATAATATAAAGGAAGATAGTTATTGCACCAGGCTTTGTAATGGGGAGGTCTGTGGTGAAATAAAATAATAGAAGATACGAGTATGTTTCTATGTCCAGTGTGGAGTGAAATAATCATATCTCATAACAGGAAACTTTTAGAAGCAACTTCCCTGGGAACCGGCCCTTCCCCTCACTCTAACTGCGGGCTTGCTTCATTATCACTTAATTTACTATTGCAGTCCAGTAGCACGGTGGACTGATCATTTTAAATAAAAGAAGTGATCCCAATGAGAGAACAAGGACCCCATAACAGGAGTTATAACAGGTGTAACCCATGACAGGAGCATCACTTAGCTCTAGACAACACTGGGCGTAGCTTGTAGCCTCAGCAGGTGTTGAAGTGATATTATTTGGCACGTCACTTAGGAAAGGAAATATGTCCACTATTTGTTCGTTGGACCTCTTCTTTTCACCTGACATTCCAGTTGATTAATAATTGTGTCAAGATTCAGGCCATCCTACTGTTTAGGAAGTACTTATAGTAACGATAAGCACCATCGTACATATATTGACGTAAAAGGCCATTAGAAAGAAGAAATCGGTACTGCTGAATTTGGACAAACCCAAAAAGGGTTTGTATTTATGTTGCAAAGAAAACCTTAACTAGCCTAAGCTAGCCTTCCTAGGCTTAATGCATGCTGTCTGAGGCCTAATGTAGCACTTGTGTGCTTTATTAGGCCTAGCAGTATTTAAGTTGGGTTTTATAGTTTATTTTTTCGGAATCTATAAAGTGAATATTACCAAATTCTACTTTACTTTATGTCAATAGACGTATCAAAGTCCACATAGTTACAGGAAGACGGGTTGAAACATTGGTGATGTGGTGATGTCTTGTGTGGTGTGTCTCCCTCTCGTGTAGTGTCTCCCTCTTGTGTGGTGTGTCTCCCTCTTGTGTGGTGTGTCTCCCTCTTGTGTGGTGTGTCTCCCTCTTGTGTAGTGTCTCCCTCTTGTGTGGTGTGTCTCCCTCTTGTGTGGTGTGTCTCCCTCTTGTGTGGTGTGTCTCCCTCTTGTGTAGTGTCTCCCTCTTGTGTGGTGTGTCTCTCCTTGTGTGGTGTGTCTCCCTCTTGTGAGGTGTGTCTCCCTCTTGTGTAGTGTCTCCCTCTTGTGTAGTGTGTCAACCTCTTGTGTGGTGTGTCTCCCTCTTGTGTGGTGTGTCTCCCTCTTGTGTAGTGTCTCCCTCTTGTGTGGTGTGTCAACCTCTTGTGTGGTGTGTCTCCCTCTTGTGTGGTGTGTCTCCCTCTTGTGTAGTGTCTCCCTCTTGTGTAGTGTCTCCCTCTTGTGTAGTGTGTCTCCCTCTTGTGTGGTGTGTCTCCCTCTCGTGTAGTGTCTCCCTCTTGTGTAGTGTCTCCCTCTTGTCTGGTGTGTCTCCCTCTTGTGTAGTGTGTCTCCCTCTTGTGTGGTGTGTCTCCCTCTTTATGGTGTGTCTCCCTCTTGTGTAGTGTCTCCCTCTTGTGTAGTGAGTCTCCCTCTTGTGTAGTGTCTCCCTCTTGTGTGGTGTGTCAACCTCTTGTGTGGTGTGTCTCCCTCTTGTGTAGTGTCTCCCTCTTGTGTGGTGTGTCTCCCTCTCGTGTAGTGTCTCCCTCTTGTGTAGTGTCTCCCTCTTGTCTGGTGTGTCTCCCTCTTGTGTAGTGTGTCTCCCTCTTGTGTGGTGTGTCTCCCTCTTTATGGTGTATCTCCCTCTTGTGTAGTGTCTCCCTCTTGTGTAGTGAGTCTCCCTCTTGTGTAGTGTCTCCCTCTTGTGTGGTGTGTCAACCTCTTGTGTGGTGTGTCTCCCTCTTGTGTGGTGTGTCTCCCTCTTGTGTAGTGTCTCCCTCTTGTGTGGTGTGTCTCCCTCTCGTGTAGTGTCTCCCTCTTGTGTAGTGTGTCTCCCTCTTGTGTGGTGTGTCTCCCTCTTGTGTGGTGTGTCAACCTCTTGTGTGGTGTGTCTCCCTCTTGTGTGGTGTTTCTCCCCTTGTGTGGTGTGTCTCCCTCTTGTGTAGTGTGTCTCCCTCTTGTGTGGTGTGTCTCCCCTTGTGTTGTGTGTCTCCCTCTTGTGTAGTGTGTCTCCCTCTTGTGTAGTGTGTCTCCCTCTTGTGTGGTGTGTCTCCCTCTTGTGTGGTGTGTCTCCCCGTTGTGTGTGTGTCTCCCCTTGTGGTGTGTCTCCCCTTGTGTTGTGTGTCTCCCTCTTGTGTGGTGTGTCTCCCTCTTGTGTAGTGTGTCTCCCTCTTGTGTGGTGTGTCTCCCTCTTGTGTAGTGTGTCTCCCTCTTGTGTGGTGTGTCTCCCTCTTGTGTGGTGTGTCTCCCCTTGTGTGGTGTGTCTCCCTCTTGTGTGGTGTGTCTCCCTCTTGTGTGGTGTGTCTCCCTCTTGTGTGGTGTGTCTCCCTCTTGTGTGGTGTGTCTCCCCTTGTGTTGTGTGTCTCCCTCTTGTGTAGTGTGTCTCCCTCTTGTGTAGTGTGTCTCCCTCTTGTGTGGTGTGTCTCCCTCTTGTGTGGTGTGTCTCCCTCTTGTGTGGTGTGTCTCCCTCTTGTGTGGTGTGTCTCCCTCTTGTGTATTGTGTCTCCCTCTTGTGTGGTGTGTCTCCCTCTTGTGTGGTGTCTCCCTCTTGTGTAGTGTCTCCCTCTTGTGTGGTGTGTCTCCCCTTGTGTGTGTGTCTCCCCTTGTGTGGTGTGTCTCCCTCTGTGTGTGTGTCTCCCTCTTGTGTAGTGTCTCCCTCTTGTGTGGTGTGTCTCCCTCTTGTGTGGTGTGTCTCCCTCTTGTGTAGTGTGTCTCCCTCTTGTGTGGTGTGTCTCCCTCTTGTGTAGTGTGTCTCCCTCTTGTGTGGTGTGTCTCCCCTTGTGTAGTGTGTCTCCCTCTTGTGTGGTGTGTCTCCCTTTTGTGTGGTGTGTCTCCCTCTTGTGTGGTGTGTCTCCCTCTTGTGTAGTGTGTCTCCCTCTTGTGTGGTGTGTCTCCCTCTTGTGTGGTGTGTCTCCCCTGTGTAGTGTGTCTCCCTCTTGTGTGGTGTGTCTCTCCCTTGTGTGTAGTGTGTCTCCCTCTTGTTTGGTGTGTCTCCCTCTTGTGTGGTGTGTCTCCCCTTGTGTAGTGTGTCTCCCCTTGTTTGGTGTGTCTCCCTCTTGTGTGGTGTGTCTCCCTCTTGTGTGGTGTGTCTCCCCTTTGTGTGTGTGTGTCTCCCCTTGTTGTGTGGTGTGTCTCCCTCTTGTGTGGTGTGTCTCCCCTTGTGTGGTGTGTCTCCCCTCTTGTGTGGTGTGTCTCCCTCTTGTGTGGTGTGTCTCCCCTTGTGTGGTGTGTCTCCCCTTGTGTGGTGTGTCTCCCCTTTGTGTGGTGTGTCTCCCTCTTGTGTGGTGTGACTCCTCTTGTGTGGTGTGTCTCCCCTTGTGTGGTGTGTCTCCCCTTGTGTGGTGTGTCTCCCCTTGTGTGATGTGTCTCCCTCTTGTGTGGTGTGTCTCCCTCTTGTGTGGTGTGTCTCCCTTTGTGTGGTGTGTCTCCCCTTGTGTGATGTGTCTCCCCTTGTGTGTCTCCCCTTGTGTGATGTGTCTTCCCTTGTGTGCTGTGTCTCCCCTTGTGTGGTGTGTCTCCCCTTATGTGGTTTGTCTCCCCTTGTGTGTTGTGTCTCCCTTTGCGTGGTTTGTCTCCCTCTTGTGTGGTGTGTCTCCCCTTTTGTGATGTGTTTCCCCTTGTGTGGTGTGTCTCAACTTGTGTGATGTGTCTCCCCTTCTGTGTTGTGTCTCAACTTGTGTGTTGTGTCTCTCGTTGAGTGATGTGTCTTCCCTTGTGTGATGTGTGTTTTCCCTTGTGTTGTGTGTCCCCCATGTGTGATGTGTCTTTCCTTGTGTGCTGTGTCTCCCCTTGTGTGGTGTGTCTTCCCTTGTGTGTTGTGTCTCCCCTTGTGTGGTGTGTCTCCCCTTGTGTGATGTGTCTCCCCTTGTGTGGTGTGTCTCCCCTTGTGTGGTGTGTCTCCCCTTGTGTGGTGTGTCTCCCCGTTGTGTGCTGTGTCTCCCCTTGTGTGGTGTGTCTCCCCTTGTGTGGTTTGTCTCCCCTTGTGTGCTGTGTCTCCCCGTTGTGTGGTGAGTCTCCCCTTGTGTGGTGTGTCACCAATTGTGTGGTGTGTCTTCCCTTGTGTGATGTGTCTCCTCTTGTGTGTTGTGTCTCCGCTTGTGTGATGTGTCTCCCTTTGCGTGGTTTGTCTCCCTCCCCTTGTGTGGTGTGTCTCCCCTGGTGTGTCTCCCCTTGTGTGTGTGTCTCCCCTTGTGTGGTGTGTCTCCCCTTGTGTGGTGTGTCTCCCCCTTGTGTGGTGTGTCTCCCCTTGTGTGGTGTGTCTCCCCTTGTGTGGTGTGTCTCCCCTTGTGTGGTGTGTCTCCCTCTTGTGTGGTGTGTCTCCCCTTGTGTGTGTGTGTGTGGTGTCCCCTTTGTGTGGTGTGTCTCCCCTTGTGTGTGGTGTGTCTCCCCTTGTGTGGTGTGTCTCCCCTTGTGTGGTGTGTCTCCCCTTGTGTGGTGTGTCTCCCCCTTGTGTGTGTGTGTCTCCCCTTGTGTGGTGTGTCTCCCCTTGTGTGGTGTGTCTCCCCTTGTGTGGTGTGTCTCCCTGTGTGTGTGTGTCTCCCCTTGTGTGTGTGTCTCCCCCTTGTGTGTGTCTCCCCTTGTGTGGTGTGTCACCCCTTGTGTGCTGTATCTCCCCCGTTGGGTGGTGTGTCTCCCCTTGTGTGGTGTGTCTCCAGTTGTGTGGTGTGTCTCCCCTTGTGTGATGTGTCTCCCCTTGTGTGGTGTGTCTCCCCTTGTGTGATGTGTCTCCCCTTGTGTGGTGTGTCTCCCCTTGTGTGGTGTGTCTCCCCTTGTGTGGTGTGTCTCCCCTTGTGTGGTGTGTCTCCCTTGTGTGTGTGTCTCCCCTTGTGTGGTGTGTCTCCCCTTGTGTGCTGTGTCTCCCCGTTGTGTGGTGTGTCTCCCCTTGTGTGGTGTGTCTCCCCTTGTGTGGTGTGTCTCCCCTTGTGTGGTGTGTCTCCCCCTTGTGTGTTATGTCTCCGCTTGTGTGATGTGTCTCCCCTTGTTGTGTGTGTGTGTCTCCCCTT